TCTCAAATTGATATATCAGAGGTAAGGCACAGCGTAATGTCGGCGATTCATGCTCCTTAGACCCGTGCGTGCTACAAAGATGGCGCACCTAAGGATGCCCGCGTGCTGGCGACGAAAAGTCAGAACAGTAGAGAAAGCCTATAAAGCTAACGACCAGAGCACCGGTCACGTGCCGCCCCGCCTCCCTCCCCACGCCAGAAAACCCCGACCCCAACCCCAACCTCAACCCCGATCCCACTACGTACATACACACACGCGCGCCCGCGCAAGCAAACGTAGAGACAGACAGACAGGCGGACGGACGGACGGACGGACGGACGAACGAGCAAAGAAATAGAGGCCTACGCTATCGATACGCCGATAAGGGTCTTGGCCTCCCAAAGCTTAGGAAATTTGCGTTTACAGAATTACCTCGTCATTATGTGCGCGACAACCCCCTTCGATTACCGCTCGCGCGTCTATTTGCGCCCGGGGAACGACAGGTCGAAGAGATGAACGCGCCGATAAGAAAAGGCCTCGGCGAAGAAGCTCGGGACGTGGCGTCGCGCAATTATTGGCATTGGCGGCGTGTATGTTCGCGTGATGAGTAGGGAGGATAACGATAGGGCAGAACATGACGTACCCCGGCGGTCTTGCCTTCCACCTCCACCCACCCCTTGCCCTTGCAGCGCGCCTTTTGCCTTGTAGCCACGATTTTTCACCTTCCTTTCTCACCGTTTTTTCCTTCCCTAACCCCTACTCTCCACCCCCCCCCTCCTCCACCCCCCTTTCTAAGAAATTACTGCTTTTACGCCCGCAGACCCACCTACTTGCCTCCATTATACTTAGTATCTATTTTAATTTATCATTTTTATACTTTCCCTTAATATACGTAGTGAGAGAAGTAAATCGTTAGGTCTAAATTATACGATAAATCTATCGATCTTCAAAAGCCAGTCGACTTTTATTTTCTTAGAATGCTCGTTAGCCTTCTTTCGTTGCACGGACGTGCAATGGTATTCGTGCTTGTTGCAATGGTAATCGTCGAGTCGATGTCAATGCACACTTCATTATTTATTATTTATAAAGCCGAAGCGGCGCGTGTTCGACCGAATAGAGATACTTTCTTCTCAACAATATTCATTTCAACAATAGGGTCATCATTTGCCGAGTAATTTCATCGTTGAAATCATTGACGTGTCTCCAGATGATGAATTCGGTGGTTCGCGAGCCTTATTGATCTTAATGATCGATTAACATCGACGTACTTGTTAAACACCGTGTATATATCGTGATTAGGAGGAGCAGGAGCAATAGACTTCAATCGGTTCTTCGAGTAGTCGGGAGTTCGTACGTAGCGCTATCGGGGTTCTCCGAATCTCCCTCATCACTCGTGACGATCAGCCGATTTCTGATTCGGCACTAATGTTTATGACGAGATTAGTGGGAAATCGGGCGAGGAGTAGCAGGGTGCGGAAGTGGGTGAGATTATGGTTTCGTAGGTGCCCGACTGGCAGAATGGCAGAAGCCTCGTAACTGTCACACGAGTAACTCGCGCTCAGCTTGCACGTACGCTCATTGTCCATTATGCCGCATGAAATTCCTTCTATGCCGCAAGATAAGATCTGGCTACGACGTCGCGTGTCCGGTTCTAGGATCAGATAAGAAGACCACTGTCACCCTCTGCTTTGCCACCTCCACGAGCGGCTTCTCCATTTTCTGCGACCCCAATTTCTCCCCTTTCGGCCCCCACGAGCGCTCTCATTCGATTTATCCAACGAAGGTTGCGAGCGTGTGTAGATACGCGACAGATGAGAGATTGAGTCGTTGCACAAAGGCATCGAGGAACAAATAATAATTCCACGATAATATGATATTGAGCGTGCGAATGAAAAAACATAATAAAATCAATCGAAACAATACAAGGACAAAAAAATAAAGCTATACAAAACAATAAGCATAAATCGATTCGATAGTCAATCGTCGCTCATCCTGCTTTCTTACATCCTAATTTTTATTGAGATTTTATGAATTAAAACAGTATCAGACAATGATCGTTGCATTACTATTAATAACATATATGATAATTAATTACGTGGGATAATTATCTTCTCGGTTTTCCGTTCTACTGGTAAAGTCCCACAGTCACATACTAAATTATCATTCGACGTTCCATCTAGATAATGACATATTCATACACAAAAGCAGCTAAATCAACGTACGTGAACACGGGGGCAGGTCCACGTACGCTTGTAAGATCATGAAAATACTCGGTTGGCTTGTTTGTATTTAATAATTCGCATGTAGCCTCGTTGTTGGCCTACATAGTCCCGATACCTTAATATCAATTCGACCGGTAAATTCATTATCCTCCAGGCAAGAAAATTTTCTATAGATTTTATAGAGAAGCCGCGGGCACGCGAGTTGTAAAATAGCAATTAGCCCGAGCTCGATTAATGCTTTATTATCTCGAGCAAAGTCTCGTGATAAAGTAAAGAGACTGGTTGTAGTAGATGCGAGATTTGTCCTTCGATGCTCTAATTCGACAGCGACAGGACAATACGCGTACCCACGTCAAAATCGCTCGTCTAGTAACAAAGGGAAAGTGGCAAGGGGCCATTTCCGTATAGGAAGCCGTGCATTAGTCTATATATCAGATCGAGCACGCGTCTTTTTCCCGGGCGGAAAAAGTTTGCCTAGAGAGACCCTTACACGCGTGATTAGCTTAGCGCGTTAGGAACTATATGGTACGAGAGGGCTGGGGTGAGGTGTGATGACGGGACGGGGTAGGGGCGGGGTGAGTGGCGAAGATGCGTGACGAGGAAACCGCGCGGTAAAGCAGAACCGGAGGACGAGCGTCGATGAGATCGCGATTACCGATAAGGCGGGGCGAGTGGGGTTGGACGACGTGGGCTAAGGGGGAAGGAATATGGGAGGGGGTGGGGGTGTCAGCTAGTGAAAAATCGACTTTTGTGTCCCTTGCTCGTCCTTCGCGCTGCATCGTAAATTAGGCACACGATTTTTCTCTAAATAACCACGTGCCTCGCGCCCTAACAAACAACCCACGCACGTCTTTTCCTTTCTTCGACTTCTTTCTGCCATCTCACTCGGTAATTTCCCTTACCGGCTATCGATTAATAATTTTTCAAGCTACACGTAAACGCAATTTTCTCCTTTTACCTCCTCCTCCTCCTACGCGATTATACGTTTCTTAATTAATAAAGGGAGTGCACGTGTGCCTGCTTGATTTTCATCGAGACCCGAAGCACGCTGAGAACGTAATCTCCACAATTCCCGATAAGGGACAAGTTATCAAGTCTCGAGTCGATCACTGAACGATCAGCAGTCCAAAACTGCAAAATGCTCGAGTGAATAAGAGTGGAGCAAGATATTGTTTTTTTTTTAACTCGGCGACAATGCACCGAGTGTAGTACATTTTGCTTATCAAGGGCGCGGTCTATCGTAACAAAATCGTACGAAGAGAGGATTCCGGATTGCCGGAGACGAGTTAATCGGAGAAAATCTCGGTGACTATTACTCCTGGAGGGAAAAGTCCGACGTATCTACTCGTGGGTATCACTGTCGCAAAAACAAACCCACTTATCCAGATTCCCGAAAAGGCTCTTACGATTCTTCGGCTCCCCGTGGGATTGCTCTTCCTCCTCCCGACTCCATTTTTTCACCTGGTTAACGCGAGACGGCTGTCGCTCCCCTCTCACACCCCTCCGCCCCCCCCCACCCTCATTATAACTTCTCACTCTCGTTTCGTATCTATCCTTAATAAAGAGCCTCGACCATTCCAGCCCGCACCAACGATCGCATTACAACCTCTCAAATAGCGTTGGCTGACTTTTTAATTTCGATGGTCCCGAATGCCAAGGCGCTTACCTACGCGCATCCGCAATTCATGTCGGGGCAAACGGAGTGGAGTGTCGGTCGTTTACGTGTGCACGGTCCGACAACCCCCTTGGTAGTTCCGAGATATCCGACGCTTAAGACGATAAGAGAAGCGGGAGTGGGGGCCGAGGGAATTGGCCGGGCTAGGTGATAGCGAGAACGTCAGGCCCTTGTATCTCGCATCTCACTGTACTCAGCCTAATTATAATCAGGCTAATGCCTCGCGAGCACGAGGTGGTCAGCGCGTTTCAGCGCCCTTTCGATCCCCTGGATTCTTCCAGGTCGTACGGTGTGCGGGCGCGCGTGCATGTTCGCGCACCGCCGTTAGATAACTCGCTGGAGGTGCTCTTGAGCGCTCCTAGCAGCCTTCGTAGGGGGCCGGGTAATTAAGATTCGGACACACCCAGGCTGTGGCCAGTGTCTTTTTGCATGGGAGTGGCAAGCGAGCCCGCGAAAATCTCGTCCTCGTTTGCATAAGGTTCCGAGCCAAGTTGTCGCGTGGGACGTGTCGGTCTTGTCGTGCGGACCGGTCGACTTGGCCCTGGGAGGTAGGCGTGTTTCTTCGTGATCGGGCACTAGGTTCGAACGCCGTATAGTACTCGGACCGTGCCGATCCGGGCCTCCAGATCCACGTCCACATCCAGCTCTTCGATGTCGTAAAGTTGAGTGCCCGCTCGG